CCTGTAGATCTTCTGTATCTTTGTTGTATTTTTTTCTAGATGTTCTGTTCTTTACTGAGAGTGGTATGTTAAAGTCTCCTACTATTATTTTAGAACTATCTATTTCTCTTTTCAGTGCTGTTAGTTTGTTTTATGTATTTTGAGGACCTGTTCATTTGGCGGGTAGATATTTATTATGTTTATGTCTTCTTGGTGAATTGCCCCTTTAATCATCATATAATGTCCTTCCTTGTCTGTTATTGTTGACTTTGCCTTAAAGTCTATTTTATCTGAGATTAGTATTCCCCTCATTCTGTTTTCTGATTGATTTTTATAGATTGATCTTTTATCTTGCAACATTGCTGAATATGTATTACTTATATTAACTTTTTAGTGGATTCCTTAGGATTTGTATATACAAGATCATGTCAACTGAGAATAGAGGTAGTTTTATTTCTCCTTTTCCAATCCGGCTATGTTTGATTTCTTTTTCTTGTCTAATTGCTATGGTTAGAAACTACAGTGCAATGTTGAATCGAAGTGGTGGGAGTCTGTATTTTTCTTTTCTTGTGATGTGTTTTTCTGGTTTTGATGTCAGGGTAATTCTAGCCTCGTAGGATGATTTAGGAAGTATTCCCTTCTATTCTACTTTCTGGAAGTGTTTGTAAAGAATTGTTTTTGATTCTTATTTAAATAGAATTAAACATGGAAGCTACATGGTCCTGGGTTTCTCTTGCTGGGTATTATTATTATTATTTTTATTCCTTTTTTTTTACTTGTAAATCTATTCCTATTTTTAATTGTTTATTCAGTTTTTATCATTCTATGAGTTTATACATTTTAGCGATCTTGTCTAATTTAGTGGCCTTCAAATAATTCATATTATGCATTTATAGTTCTTTTAATTTTTGTAGTGTTGGTAGTAATCTCTCCTCTTTCATATCTGATGCTAATAATTTGAGTCTTCTCTCTTTTTTCTGGGTCAATTTGCTAAAGGGTACTCAAATTTGACAATCTTTTTTTTTTTAATTACAAGTTTTATTATTTTTTTATTGTACTTCAGGTGAAGGCTTACATAACAAATAGTTTCTCATGAACCAGTAGTACACGTATTGTTTTATGACATTGGTTAACAACCCCACAACATGTCAACCCTCTCCCTTCTTAACCTTTTTTTTTTTTGGTGAAAATATACATAGCCAAATATACACCATTTCAAAAATTTCTACATGCACAGTTCAGTGACATCAACTATGCTCTTCCAATTGTGCTG